GAAAAAGTAGATGTACTTTGAATACCACTAAGTAAGAAAGTAGCTGTACTTTGAATGCCACCACATAAAAAAAATACTTTGAATACCACCAAATGAAAAAGTAGATGTACTTTGAATACCACTAAGTAAGAAAGTAACTGTACTTTGAATACCACCACATGAAAAAGTACTTTGAATACCACCAAATGAAAAAGTAGATGTACTTTGAATACCACTAAGTAAGAAAGTAACTGTACTTTGAATACCACCACATGAAAAAATACTTTGAATACCACCAAATGAAAAAGTAACTGTACTTTGAATACCACTAAATGAAAAAGTAACTGTACTTTGAATACCACTAAATTAAAAAAATTAAAAAGTACTTTGAATACCACAAAATTAAAAAGTTACTGTACTTTGAACATCACTAAATGAAAAAGTAACTGTACTTTGAATACCACAAATGAAAAAGTACTTTGAATACCACTAAATTAAAAAGTAACTGTACTTTGAATACCACTAAATTAAAAAAATTAAAAAGTACTTTGAATACCACCAAATGAAAAAGTAACTGTACTTTGAATACCACTAAATTAAAAAAATTAAAAAGTACTTTGAATACCACAAATTAAAAAGTTACTGTACTTTGAACATCACTAAATGAAAAAGTAACTGTACTTTGAATACCACAAATGAAAAAGTACTTTGAATACCACTAAATTAAAAAGTAACTGTACTTTGAATACCACTAAATTAAAAAAAATAAAAAGTACTTTGAATACCACCAAATGAAAAAGTTACTGTACTTTGAATACCACTAAATTAAAAAAAATTAAAAAGTACTTTGAATACCACAAAATTAAAAAGTTACTGTACTTTGAACATCACTAAATGAAAAAGTAACTGTACTTTGAATACCACAAATGAAAAAGTACTTTGAAGACCACTACATTAAAAAGTAACTGTACTTTGAATACCACCAAGTGAAAAGGTACTTTAAATACCACCAAATGAAAAAGAAACTGTACTTTGAATACCACTGAGTGAAAAAGTACTTTGAATACCACTAAATTGGAAAGTAACTGTACTTTGAACACCACTAAATGAAAAAGTACTTTGAATACCACTACATTAAAAAGTAACTGTACTCTGGGTACCACCGCATGAAAAAGTACTTTAAATACCACCAATGAAAAAGTAACTGTACTCTGGATACCACTAAATTAAAAAGTAACTTTACTTTAAATACCACTGTCAAAAAATAACAGAGATATTAACACAAAGAAACTCAGAAGGCAGAATTTAGGGTTTTTACTCGCGGCGAGGGACAGAGGCGCTGCTACAGCTCTTCACTGCCGAAGAGCCACCGTCCAACGTCACGTATTTATTGAATCACACAGGTTACAAGAATAAATGGGCGGTTACATTTTTCTATCACAGTAAAAAAACACACAGAATAAAAGTGTGTATTGTGTGTGTGCCAGCTGCTGAGGTGTAGGAAGGGATGTGCATAGGGAGGACTGTCCTTGCGGAAGATAACGGATAATGAGAAGTTGGATTTCCGTGAGAAATACACTTTGAGAAATACCCTTTGATAAAATAAGACAAAGAATCTTCTATACAGCATTTGAAAAACTCTTTAACAACCACCAATGAAAAAGTAACTGTTACTCTAAACTTTAAATCCTTAAATTTTCCTCAAATAATAATCTTATAATCCGATGCGCCTTATGTATTAATTGTGGTTGTGCTTACTGACCTCAAACCGATTTTATGTGGTAAACGGCGCTCAAAAATCTGTCAAAATGTTTTAGTACGACTTTGGTAAACTACAAAGCCGCACCTCTTGATGGATTGTCGAAGTATTACGGTACATGTCTGCACAGGACAGAATTTTCAGTCCTGCTCCCGCTCCCGCCCGCTAAAAATTTTAATTTTCATTCCTGCTCCCGCCTGCATCTGCAATATTTTGTTACACTACCGCCCGCAAATCCCGCAAGATGTGGGCACAAACAAACAAACAAAAAAAAGGAAAGGAATTGTCTAAAATGTGCGCGAGATTAGACCACATCTGCAAGTTTAGGCTGCTTAAAATGTTTTTATTAATGCCAAATAAAATATCCAATGACAGGCATACATGAATCATTTATATATTTTACTTTACTGTCATTTTAGTTTGCGGGACTGCAGTTTTTCATATCACTCGCCCGCTCCTGCATTGTGCAGTCCCGCTCCCGCCCACATTGAGCTTACAAAATGTGTCTCGTACCGCGCTGTTTTGCGTCGGGTCCCACGAATTGCAGCTCTCTACATTACGTGGAGTCTGACAGAACGTGACCGCATCAGCGCACAAGGAACGAGCGTTTTTTTTCAGCGCTTATAATTTATTAAAATGAGCCATGTGGTTTTAAATTTCGTTTCGGTAAAACGTAAACAAATGTGCACAAAGCTGCTTTAAACACATTATTACTCAGTGTATTTTTGAGTCCTCCTTGTAGGAAATAACTTAAATTCTATTCACATTCATAATCCACAAGACAGGGAGGCAACGCCGGGCGAATTACGTCACGATCTGCCAATGGATCGTGGACGCCTGGACTAAGGATCAGTCTCAAGTGTCGTCAGTTTGTTTCGCTTAATGCTTCTTATAATCCAGTGTGTCTTATGTATGAAAATAGACGAGTGAATTCAACATTTTTAATATTGCGCCTTATAGTCCCAAAAATACGGTACCAGCTCGTATTATGAAAGATAGGTCAACCATCTCCGCATACACGCAGTCTCTCTCCCTCTGTGGGCTTTGTGGAGCGAGTGGTGCCCTGAAATGCTCCCCGCCATCTTAGCTCCTTCGGCCATGACCTACTCTCCTCTACCCTCCCCACCCCTCGTCGCTCCAGCCCCCCGCCCGCCCTCCCGCCCTCCCGCCTCCCTCCCCCGCGCCCTGGCCTCTTGTCTAATTCCCTCCCCTCTCCTCCTCCTCCTTTCACTGAATTGCAGACTTTAGAGAAAGAGAGATCGATGAAGGCACACAGTGTTGATTGGACTGGCAGCAGGGCCCCAGTCGGAGCGCTATGCAAGAGGTCTGCGGCTCTGTGGACGTGAATTATAGGGGGAGAGTCAAAGATGGCGGCGCGCTGCTCTCTGGAATGGTCCTTTGTGCGGAGAGCTGGTTTATATCATTTCTGATCATAAATACGTTTTGTCTTTATAGATTTAGTTTTATTTTTACAATTATTTTACTGTATCTGTTTATTTTTGATTGACATTTTAACCATAGACAGGATCATGAGCAGAATAATGAGTGATGTATGAAGAGTGGGGGAGACATTAAGCATTCAGGGCATCCTATCCTACATGAATTCACTGTTATATATTATTATTGGAATATTATTTGTACATACTGTAAGTTTTGAGCTGTTTAGATCGACTATTTGAATTGGTTTCAGTGATTTCTTGTATTCGATAGTGGTTGAATCGATCATTAATTTAAGAATAGTTATATATATATTGAAGTGTCCTGAGAAGAGGAAGAAGCGTGGAGCTGAAATTCTGATTCAGGAGAAGATTATTAATCATGTATGGCGCAGCGTGTTCTGTAGATTTCAGCGTAGGACACTTATCCCAATTAAAATACATAGAAAACATGCATTTGTTGTTGTTTTTGTGCGATTGTCATCGGTGCAGCGTGTACCTGGCACATTTATGCGTCATTTGAAGGAGCCCAGGTTCAGAAAGGCTAAATTGTGGTTTCAGATTTACCTTGCGTTTGTCGTGGTCGGCCTGTACAGACGGCCATTGCTGCACGCGTACGTCCTGCTCAAGTTGCCAGTGTGGCCGTCCTCACAGCGGCATATGGATGTGGTTTCATGAATGCGGTGTGTTTAGGGTCTCAAGGCATCGTCAGGGTTTCCACAGTCATGGAAATCCAGGAAAAGTCATGGAAGTTGAAAATGTTATTTACAAGAAAAGTCATGGACTTTTGTGAATTCAATGATAGTCTTGGAAAAGTCGTGGAATTTTAGTATCTCTTTCACACAACTGTAGTGTTCTGTTAATTTATCATTAGGCTATAATGATTATTTTTAAAAGGTGAGTGGAAAGAATTAACATTTCATATTTAGCCCTAAAAGTCTGATCAATTCTACACATGTAGGTGCTGTAAACTCACGAAAAAGTCATTTTTAAACAAAATAGACAAAATATTTTATCGAAAGTGCCTTTTATTTAGACGGTGATGGCGTTTTGGGGGCTTAAAAACACAAAAATCTGAAACCACCCTCCAGAGTGGGAAAGTTGAATACGCTTCGCCGTAGTGTTTCCGTTTACACTGCCCAAGACGCAAAACTCTGGTCAAATCTGACCACGTCGCGTATGAGTTTACATCACATACATACAGTACACAGAAACAAACAAACATTTCCAAGCGTCGGACCTTCAAGCTGCTCTGGCAGATCTAATAAACTTACAGGAGACTCCAAACTAATGTACAGAATCTGCAGAGATACTATTAGTGAACAGAGAAGGATCTGCAATCACCTCTGTCAAATTCTGGACGCACCAGGTCATCGCAGGCGAATCAGACGGATATGGACGAGACCTGGAGAACCTGTCGACTGTGGCACAACTTTGAATTCCACACACTTTTGCGTCACCGTATGCGCGCAGATTTCCTCCTGAAAACACTTGTCTAAATAAAAAGCGAAGACACAACACCATTTTTGCGTCTTCTGTTCTGACCGTCATCATATAAATGTTGCCTTAGTCAGTAAAAAAAAAAAAGAATGGGAGCAGTGATCATGAGAGATAGAGTGGCTATGCTTTTGTTGTAGGGAGTATTATACCTCTGACGACATAGGCAAGGGCTGAGTTTGCAGTGTGGGGCTAGCGCAGCACAGCAATGCGACTTCTCTTCCACACTACATTCAGAAACTACACAATGACGGGTATAAAAACCATTACAGTGTGTCTAGGAGTGTACTTTATGTAACTTTGGTCTCCTGTGTGTTTCTTGTGTCCAGTCCTAAACTCCAGAAGTCCCCTCAGTGAGACCAAGAGCACCTCCTCGTCCCTGTCAGCCCTCAGCGACTCCCTGAACAGCTCAGAGGGCGGAGACCACAGCAGCGAAGAGCTCAAGAGCCTGCTGGCCCCGCCCACCCCCGCCGGCAGCCAATCGAGCTCCGGCAGCCACTCGGGATCAGGAGCAGAGGATAAAAATGAAAAAGGTAAAACACGAGAGAAAGAAGAGACTAAAGGTGCACTGGGTAACTTTTCTGATGGAGGGTCCGTCACATTACTTTCGTCATGGAGATGCTTTGTCTGGAATGTTTCACAGTACATCATTAAGCTTTTCTATCTTCATGGAGACCAAACAGGATCTGTGGAGAGGCGACCCCGCTCACAGTCAGAATGCCTGTTTTTCTAGATATTTGAGCTTTTTTTTTTTTGGTGATGGACGCCCAACCAAAAAGTTACACAGTGCACCTTTAAGATAAACAAAATACATCCTTAAGTGTGATATGCGGCTAAAAATAGTATTTATTAAACTGTAATATTGAAAACACTGCATGCCATTAAAGTTAATAACCTTAAAGCAGGATAATTTCACTAAATTGTTTTTTAAAGAGAGAATATTAAGCAAAATCGATTTCTACCATGTTATAATGTTGTTCCCTCATTCAAAACAGGCCTGAAGAGGTTTTAGGAGTCATCCATGCATGTCTGAGTAATCTAGAGATCTCTCCCAGGCCCTATTCCAACCCTCCTTATGTTAAGCTGTGAGGTTTTGTACAAAGCTCCGCCCACAAGCCTACGTCACCCACGCTCCCACACGATAATTCTCCATAAATATACAAAAACAGACAATGATGCAAACAGGTCAATTAATTATAATAAATAAATGAGTAAATAAAAAGTAGAATAAAAATAAATAATGGATAAAATTAAGCTAAAACCAGTTAAAGGAAGGCAATGGGTTTTAAGAAGTGATTTAAAAGATGATACTTACGGTGCAAAAAAAAGAAAAAAAGAAAGAAAGAAAACAACTAATACTTGACATCTGGACTTACACTTAGTTTTAGATTTATTGATCCACAAGGGAAATTACTTGGACACAGTTTTTACTTAACAAAGAGTAAAAACCATAAAAATGGTCATAATCAATTTTTAATATGTCACCCATGCTCCCACACAACAATTCTCCATAAATGCACAAAAATATGATATAAAACTGTACACAACAACTTCACAAACCTGATTCGATGTGAAGAAAAGTTCTTGTTGTTTTTATTAAAGCCAACAGAATATAACATTTAACAAAATACAATAATCAACATAAAAACAAAGCACAAAAATACAGAGCAACACCCACAACAAATACAAAACAGCAAAACTACGTATTTAGTCAGAGTTCTTCTCTCAAACAGAAAACACTCTGTTCCACCTTGTGATGTCATGTGGGGATACAGGAAGTGCTCCACCGTTTCTGGAATTGACAAGTTTTCATTCTTATCTCAATTTATGTAATTACTGTCTCTCTTTTTTCATTTTAATCTTTAATTTTATGATGATTATTTATGTTTTGATTTTGTTTTTATTGTGATTTTAATGTTTTTCTTATTCTGTAAAGCACTTTGAATTACTTTGTGTACGAATTGTGCTCTACAAATAAACTTGCCTTGCCTTGCCTAACGTGAAAAGTACCGCTTCATGACATCACAAGGTGGAACAGAGCTGAGATGTTGACTAGGATTACTCAAACATGTGTGAATGAAACAAAACACAACTCCAGGTCTGTTTTTGAGGAGGTTACAACATTATAACACGTCTTAAAGCTCACATGAATCCATTTTGTGTAATATAAGACCTTTTAATTAAAGTCCACAAACACATATGTCTCTGTTGTTGTGCCCTTTTGCCAGGCCTGGAGTGTGTCTTCTGTAACTTTGTGTGTAAGACGCGCAGCATGTACGAGAGGCACCTCCAGATCCACCTCATCACCCGAATGTTCGAATGCGACGTCTGCCACAAGTTTCTCAAGACGCCAGAGCAGCTGCTGGAGCATAAGAAGTGCCACACCGTCCCCTCCGGAGGGCTCAAGTAAGGAAAGCAAGTACACACAGAGGTTCCTAACTCCTACCCCCTACCCCCTACACCCTATGTCCTACGCGCCCTGTCCCATACTCGCTTACTACACACAGAGGTTCCTAACTCCTACCTCCTACCTCCTAAGTCCTGTGTCCTACACCTGGTCATAATAAACACAGAAACAAACACGCGAACAAATACAGCCGGGGTGTGTCCAAGACAGAGTTTGTTCCATATTAATTTAACTATTTACCAAAAAAAAGAAATTGCGTTAGTAGTTAAAAAAATATATAGATTGTTTATTATATTTTATTATATACTTTTTGTAAAAAATTTTTCACGTGGTAAAATATTAAAATAAAATATATTTTTTAATTCATAATAATTGCTGACAAGTCAATTATTAAAATAACCTTAGAATTATCATACTACTTGTGGTCATCAGATAATGCAGACATGTCAAACTCAGGCCCAGGGGCCAAATTTGGCCCGCAATATAATTATATTTGGCCCGCGACATCATGTCAAATATGTATTAGAGCTGCCTGTCGCCTACAGATAGACTATAGAGACATTATTTATTTAAAAGTTTTTTATTATTTTATATTATGTTCTGGATTCAATGTTTAAGCAAAACTATTTTTAAACATTTATTTTAGTAGTAGGTAGTAGTAGTTAGTAGGTAGTAGTTAGTAGTAGTAGTTGTAGTAGTTTATTTGGCCTTTTGCAGAACTACAAAACAAAACAATTTATAATAAAAAAAAGGTTTAATTATGACATATCTCGAAAGAAGAGAAAACAACCAGATGTTGCTGAAATTTTTCAATATTTAATCTGGCCCACGACTTTGTCCCAGTTTTTAATTTTGGCCTCTGTGAATTTGACTTTGACACCCCTGAGATAATGTATAGAAATCAGGGTTCCTACGGTCATGGAAATCCTGGAAAAGTCATGGAAATTGAAAATGTCACTCTACAGGCCTGGAAAAGTCATGGAATTTTAGCATTTCAATACAGTGAGCTTTCGATTCAATACAATATATTTCAAATCAACTCAATACCGTTCAATAAAAAATAAAGGCTAAATCATGGCTGTGATACTAAAAGTCTTTGTTAAACCACTTCTTGTCCAAAGTTAAAAAATAAACACAAACATTTTAATCATCAAAACAGTGAAAATGTCAAATAAACGAGTTTCCTTCCTCTAAACAACAAAACTGTAGAGCTGTAACAGTAAAAATATACCAATAAAATACTCTTGGTGATATACTGATACATCAACCCACGATATAGGATATATCGATACTTCAATATTTTTGCACACCCAATTCAGCAGATTTCTGAGTATTGAGGGGTTTTTTGTCTTCAGTTACTGGTCGGCTCATCAGGTCCACCTTTCTGTTTAGTACTTTTCATTATTTTTTGGGCACGGGAGGGTTTTTAAATTTCTTCAAAATCGTAAAAAAATAAGAACCAACTATAAAATAAGATAAAAAATAAAAGAAATTAATAAATATGTTGCCCTTCGGGTCGTAACACAGCGCCAATCCCTAATGAAACACTAAAACAAAAGCATGAAAAAGTTACACAGTTCACCCAAGTACAGCACAGCCGCTACTACTTTCTCTCACTGTAACTATGACGACTACTAATACTGCAGTAATTTGAATTTACAAGGGGTTTTCACTACTCGATTAGTGTGGTACATGCCAGATAAACCTTTGCTTTCAGTTCAAAAAGTCCATGTTTACTCAATAATAAACGTCTGTTCCAAATGTAATGGTCACTATTAGCACTACCTGTTGGACTTATCCCCCGGAGTCCCAATTACAGAAGGAAACAGTCTTCCTTTGTACCAGCGCAGCTTTGTTTACATAGATCAATGTGTTCCTCATTGTGGGAACATGCAAAACTACAAGAGCACCATAAATAGGCTGTATGTTACTCTGATAAGTTTAAAGGTGCGCCGTGTAACTCTGTACTTTTTTAGAACGAGGTATGGCGTTGGGGAGTAAAGGCGTTTTCTTCTTTAAAAGCTCAAATCTGAAGTCTGAAAAAGCTGCTACAACAGTTTAATACCAAATATAAAAGTCTAAACAATCATAATAATAATAATAAATCTCTATTTATAAAGCACTTTTAAAAGCAAGGTTTATAAAGTGCTGTACGAGCCGCAAAGAACAATAAAAAAGTATAAAAATGGCACACAAAAATACACAATGATGCAAACAAACCAATTAATTATAGTAAATATAATAAATAAATAACTAGAATCAGAATAAATAAGGAATAAAAATCTAACTAAAACCAGCTAAAGGAAGGACAAACGATAAAAATGGGTTTTAAGAAGTGATTTAAAAGATGATACCGATGGTAATACCTGACATCTGGACTTAGACTTAGACTTGTTTTAATTATAATAAATAAATGAATAAAGAAATAAAGAATCAAAATCAATCTAAAACCAGCTAAAGGAAGGACAAAGGACATCTAGACTGAGACCGAGACCGAGACTTAGACTCAGTTATTTATAATAAATAAACAAACAAACAAATAAATAAAGAGAATCTAAATAATAATAATAAAAACGGGTGATTTTAAAAAGTGATTTTTAAAGTTATTTAAAAGATGATACTGATGGTGCAAAAAATAAATAAATAAAATAAAACTAATACCTGACATTTGAACTTAGACTCAGTTAATTATAATAAATAAATAAAGAATAAAAATCTATCTAAAACCAGCTAAACGAAGGACAAACGATAAAAATTAGACCGAGACTTAGACCGAGTCCTAGCCCGAGTCCTAGACCGAGTCCTAGCCCGAGTCCTAGACCGAGTCCTAGACCGAGTCCTAGACCGAGTCCTAGACCGAGTCCTAGACCGAGTCCTAGCCCGAGTCCTACCTAGACCTAGCCCAGAGACCTAGACCCAGACTTAGACCGAGACTTAGATCGAGACCGAGACTTAGCCAGAGACCTAGACCTAGATCTAGACCTAGACCGAGACCTAGACCGAGCTAGACCGAGACTTAGACCGAGACTTAGACCGAGACTTAGACCGAGACTTAGACCGAGACTTAGACCGAGACTTAGACCGAGACCGAGACCGAGACTTAGACCGAGACCGAGACCTAGACCGAGACCGAGACCTAGACCGAGACCTAGACCGAGACTTAGACCGAGACTTAGACAGAGATCAAGACCTAGATCGAGACCGAGACCTAGACCGAGACCTAGACCGAGACCTAGACCGAGACTTAGTCTCAGTCTCGATCTCGGTCTCGATCTCGATCTAAGACTTAGACTTAGACTTAGAGATCCACAAGGGAAATACCTTGGACACAGTAGTTCACGCATCACATTATGTTGCAATAACAAAGAGTAAAAACTATAAAAACGGTAATAAATTTTAAATATGTTGCAATAAAACTAGCAAAACTGGGGTCAAATAAGGCAAAATTATATAAAAGTTAAAAAAAACAACAACAAAAAAACAGACATAGTGATATAAATAGAGTATATCACAGTTAATCTAAAACAAGAGACTCTCCTCTGACTCTGGCTCCAGTTCACTTACACTGAAAATGTAAATAAACCATTATGGAGAATTAGAAAAGGAGAGAGAGAGTTTGCGGAGGGTTGTCTCTTGTCTTTGATCTGCTTGTGTATAATCTGGAGCCTGTAAACCAAACGTCTGGTCTCTGTCTGTCTCTGTCTCTGTCTGTGTCTGTGTCTCTGTATCTCGGCGAGTGGAGCTTATGAGATGCTCCGGCGTCGGCCTCTCGGTCCCTCGGAGCAGGAGGCTGAGTGAAGGGAGATGGAAATGGGCCTCCCCACAGGGTCTGCTGCTCCACTGCCTACAGCCTCACGCACACGCACAATACACACACATACACACATGCACAACACACACACACACGCACATGCACAATACACACACATACACACACACACATGCACAATACACACACATACACACATGCACATGCACAATACACACACATACACACATATACACACATGCACATGCACACATACACACACACATACACACATACACTCATATATAGACATGCACAATACACACATCTAGACACACACATATATAGACACACACACACACACAACAATACACACGTACACACACATATAGACACATACACATATATACACGCACACATACACATGCACATACACACATCTAGACACACACAGACATACACAGGCACAACACACATACACACACATAGAGACGCAGACGCACAATACACACATACACACACATATAGACATACACAGGCACAACACACATACACACACATAGACACGCAGACGCACAATACACACATACACACACAAACATGCACACATACACACATATAGACACGCACAATACACACATACACACACACACACAAACATGCACACATACACACAGACACGCACAATACACACATATACACATACACACATATAGACACGCACACGCACAATACACACATACACACACGTATAGACACGCACAATACACACACATACACAAAACATGCACACATACACACATATAGACATACACACATATAGACACGCAGACGCACAATACACACATACACACATACACACACAAACATGCACAATACACACATACACACACATATAGACACGCACAATACACACATACACACACAAACATGCACACATACACACATAAACACACATATAAACATGCACACATACACATATAGACATACGCACATATAGACACGCACAACACACACATACACACACATATAGACACACACATAGATACTCAAACGTACACACATAAACACATACACACATAGACACGCACACACATACACATATAGACACATAGACGCATACACACACATATAGACATGCACACAGATATACACACACATATAGACACAGACACATACACACATAGACACACACATAGATACTCAAACTTACACACATAGACACGCACACACATACACATATAGACACAT